CGCTTTTTCACTTCTCATATTTTTTTAATAGTTTATCTCTCTCCTCCCTTGTTGTCAAGCTGTCAGTCAGCTGTCACTTTTTACTGCTGTCATGAGCCTGCCTTTATCACACCCCCAATTGGATGCTGCTAATCTGTTGTCAGCTGAGCAATAAGACAATTGGGAGCTGAAATTGAATTTGCAATCAGTGGGGTGAGAGCACTGGAGGGAGATTTTGAGTTATGGGTTCTAGTTCCTGCTCTGTCTTTATCTAGCTATGTGATTACCAGGAGACACTTACCTTCTCTGGGCCTCAGTGCCTTCATCCATAAAAGGAGGAGCAGAATGTTTGTGTGTATGTGTGTGTAAAAGAGAAAGACACACAGATACACAGAAAGAGAAAGAGGTCTTATCCGGACTTGAATCCTAAGTTTGTGTGGCTACCAGAAAGAACGTATGAAACTTTCCTGTGAGTTAACAGAATGCAGGGTGGGGTACCACTGACACTTAAATTGAAAAATTCAAGGATACACTTTAGTCATCACTTTAGTCAATCTCATTCCTCTGCTTTCCGTACTGAACATCATCTTTTTTTTAAAAATATATTTTATTGAGTTTTTACAGAGAGGAAGGGACAGAGATAGAGAGTTAGAAACATCGATGAGAGAGAAACATCGATCAGCTGCCTCCTGCACCTCTCCCACTGGGGATGTGCCCGCAACCCAGGTACATGCCCTTGACCAGAATCGAACCTGGGACCTTTCAGTCCGCAGGCCGACGCTCTATCCGCTGAGCCAAACCGGTTTTGGCAAGAGAAACATCAATCGGCTGCCTCCTGCACACTCCCTACTGGGTATGTGCCTGCAACCAAGGCACATGCCTTTAACCGGAATCGAACCTGGGACCCTTGAGTCCACAGGCCAACGCTCTATCCACTGAGCCAAACCGGTTAGGGCTGACCATCATCTTAAAACACTCTTCCCTTTGTTCCACAACATAATTCTCTCATTGCTGACCTTCTGACCCCTTTATCTTCTTTTCTCATTTCAGTCCTTGGCTCTTCCTCTACCAACCCTTTAAGTATTAAGAGTGCCAAAGGCCAGTCCAAATTTAAAGGGCAGGGCAATGATAAGAAGCCAACAACAAGTCTGAAAAGCAGCAACCTATGTGTCCCAGAAACCACCTGAAGGATGTGTCATAGTATGTCAATTACTGTGATACGTCAAGTAAAATGAGGACTGAGAGGTGACCAGGATGCAGAGACATGGAAGTCACAGGTGACCTGGACAAAAACCTTTCAGTGAAGTGGCTTTAAGAGAGAACAGTGGGAATGAAACAAATATTAACAACAAATATTAACAAGTCTTGTAAGAAGTTTTGGTCCTGAGAGAAAGAAGGAAATGAGGCAGTAGTGGAAGGGAGAGGTGGACTCAAGAGATAATTTTTTCAAAAGATGTAAAACCTAACAGCATTTTTGTATGCTAATAGAATGATCCAGAAGAAAGGGAAAATGATGACGCAGAAGAGAGAAGGAAAACTTGTTAGAACAATAGTCCTTAGGTGTGGGAGAAGGACGGGCTCTGACAAAGAGTGGAGTGGAGGAAGGGCCTCAGACAGGAGCAAGGCCAGTTCACCCACAGGACCAGGTGTGAGGATGGAGACCAGGCCCCAGAGGCACATAACTGCGTAGACGTGGTGGTAGCAGAGGATAGAATTCTCACCTGACTGCCTCTATTTTCTCAGTCATGATCTGAGGATGAAATTAGACACTTTACTATTAGATGTTTACAAAGGAAGGAAAATGCATGGTTAGTTATTTAAAAGAGTAAAATGTGGTATGCTTGCCAGGGAGATCAAGGTTCCATCTGAATTTAGGAGTCATGGGTTTAGAGTAGACTAATAAGTATGGCAGGATGTCTTCTCCTAATTAAATACAAAGGAAAGGGGGCAAAAGATTTGAAAGTATATGCAAAAGAGTCTTACAATAGAATATGAAAATTAGGCTGGGGAAGGAGGGGAATTAGGGTAAGAGAAGAATGACAGTGAGGGGTTGGCTCAATCAATGGGTGGCAGGTTCTCTGAAGGTCAAAAGACTGAGTCAGAGTGATAAAGAGAATAAATAAACTGATCTATTTATATGGCAGGGTAGTTTTCTCTTTTTGAAAAATATGTTTTTATTGATTTTTAGAGAGAGAGGAAGGGATAAAGGCATCAATGATGACAGAGAAACATCAATTGGCTGCTTCCTTCATGCCCCTTTCCGGGCATCGAGCCTGCAATCGGGACATGTGCCCTGACTGGGAATTGAACCAATATCTCTGGGTTCCTGGGTTGACACTCAACCAGCCAGGTTCTCTTTTTTCTTTTTAGTACCTCTCTATTTTCATGTGCTCACTAATAAAGAGAGAAGAACACTGCCCTTTATATGCAGGTGACAATACATGTGCTAGGTTATAAAAGAAGGGGATGGGGTGTTAATAAGACAAATTCATCTTCATTGGGACGCTACTGTATGTCAGGCATTAGGCTAGGCATTTGCCACACACTAATTCATTTAGCCACAACATCATACCTATGAGGTTATAAGGCAAAAATAATCATGACCATTAAAGCACCTAAGCTCAGGGTCATTTCACTTATACTAGTACAGGTCACAGAGCTTGTAAGGCAAAGACTCAAATACACGGATGTGCAACTTTGGTGTTAAAGAGATTTCCCATCCAAAAATAAATTCATATAATGAAACATTTTCAAGTGAGCATTCGTTCTGTATACTGTGTCCTGGTCTTTGACAATAAAGCAGTGGAGGGGGAGGAGGACATGAGGTCACAGCAGGTGCCACAAACCAAATGTTACTGAATCCCTATGTGACAGACATGTTCTGTGTTTTAACAGTTATCCGCATTATAAAGCCTCACAGATTTTGCTGAAATATGGCGTTTTCCCTTCCCCTCTTACTATCCATTATTATATATTATTATAGCACATTGTTTTAATAATGTAATTTTACCTTCTTCTTTGTTTTTACTTAAACCCATTTTTGCCATGACCAAATAATATTTGTAAAGGGAGAAAGATATAAGCATTCAAAAACTGTGTTTGTATTTTAAAATCACATTGGCGACTCTGCCTTTGGAATTACTAAGTATTTTTCAACATCTCAACAAATAATACTCTTTTAAGACTGGAGGCATTAGAATGATTGTCATTCATGCAAATAATCACTTACTTACACTATATGAGTTTGGGTTGGATAAAGCAAATTACCATTTGAAAATAACTCAAATAACACTCTGGGCTAAGACCTCGCTTATGAATGTTATCTTGGCCACAATATTTCTTAACCTTCTTCCATTTAGCGAGATGTATTTATGGTAATACAGTATAAATTAATAAACTATTCAATTGCCACAGGTGTATTAAACACATAATGATGGAGGGATATGTCATATGCAAATGAATTTAAAACAGTATTTATTTGGATTTCTATAGCAGTAATAATTAAGATGTGCTATAACCACCTATTTATCTAAAGATGTATATTTTGACTTTATATTATATGAAAAACATAAAAACATGTCAAAAATAAGGTTCATATTTAAAAATATGATCTAAAGTATAAGCTGTGTTTGAGATCATCGTGGATCTAATGTATAACAACTATATTTTTCAAAAGTTGAAATTTATCAGACATAAGAAAATTGTATTTATACAAATACACATTATACATACATATATGTATCTGAAAATCGATGGTTATCTTAGTTTCACTTAGCTTGATAGTATTCAAAACTGTAAATAAACAATTTAATGTTTTTGACAAATGACCAACATTGACAGGAAGCTTGAACAGTACAAAAAAATGGAATAAAAATTCATAGGGCCCCAACTTTAATCTAGTCTGTGACAATAACCAGCTGTGTGAGTTCAAGACAATCTCTGCCCCCTGGGCCTGCTCTCTGAACTCTGTAAAGTAAGGACTGGGCAAGGTGCTCTAACTGAAATTGTATGACTCACTCATTTGACTTGGTATTAGGCATATTTTTCTTCAATGAAATATTTACTAATAAGAAACTCAAATAAACCAGCACTGGGGTGTGGATGAGGACAATTGTCTCCATAGCAAAATCTGGACGAGCTGTGTAAGTCCAGAACACAGAGAGTACTGCCTGCATAGCACGGATGGACATTAAATCGTTTCCTGCCTTCATTTCAAGGATGGGGAAGAGACAGCTGTCCCTGAACTCTTTTTAAGGACACAGTCAGTTACAAAACAGCAGCATCCCCAGCTAGTGTGAATCCCACTGAAGCAAACTTACTATTCACAAGGGAGAAATACTTCTGGTGGTAGTAAAAACAATTTTGCTAGGTTTAATCAAAAGTGAAAAGGAATTCTAAAATGTTCCCTTTGAGCCACATCATCCGTTGCTAATTCAGGGTGGGCCTAGCAACCAGGGTAATAAAAAATGTCCTTAGTAACTGAGAAAGAGAAATGGCAATTAAGCGCTTTTGTGACCCAACACATAATACCCAACTCTCTATTAAGATAATATAAATAATAAAAAAATGGAAGAAGGGAAAAAGTGAAGAAAATAGCATGGAAAATGAAAGTAATCCAAGCAGCAAACTTTAGCACTGATTTACTTAGAACAGTTATTATTATACATATACATCAATGAATATAAGCTGAACGCAAAAGTTGAGAAATAGGCTTGACGATGACTTCTTTAACAAAACAACAAGGAAAGAACCAAAACAGTAAGTGTTAAAAGTCAAAACAGCTTGTTTTAGCAAACAAATAAATAAGAGAAAAGAAAGGAAGATCTCAATATCAGAAGTAACCATTCAGTGATAGGTCAGACAAATGATTATTTAAAATCTTTGCAAATCACAGCATGGTGAAATGGAATTCGATTCTCTAATTAACCATGCTTATGCTGAGAAGATAAAAATTGGCAAGAAGAACACCAATTCCTACACAGTTGGGAAATAATTTGACAAACAGAGTCAAACGTACTGACCTGCTCACATCAGGAAACCTGATGGGATAGTAAATAACTTGGCACTTGGGTCTGATGATGCTTTCCAGATCCTTGGGTCTGTGGTCAGGAATCAGCTTCATAAATTTCCCAATAGAAGTAAGAAACGACTCCATATTAAAAAGAGAGTTGAATACCACCACATCAGCCACCAGGCTGTAAAGGGAAAGGATAAATACAAATGATGAGCCCAACAGAGTTTACATTGCACCTTGGGTTTGCAAAAAAAATAAAAAAATACTCTGCACTTCCATAAGTAGTTATCAAAATGCCTCTAATAGATAAGTTCATTTTATTATATTATACTAGAGGCCCCATGCACGAAATTCGTGCAAGGGGCTTGGCCCTTGCAGCCCCGGCTGGCCGTTACGGCCCTGGCTTCGTCTGGAAGGTCGTCCGGATGGTCATTTGGATGTTTGGTCTAATTAGCATATTAGCTCTTTATTTATATAGGATCATGGGAAGTTAGATTGTTGGTGTCAGGATGAAAGGCAGGAGAGGAATGAAATGATTTAATGCTTTCTGTGAGGCTTCAAAGCCAATTATATTCTTCTACAATGTCAGGAACTTTCTATACTATCAACAGCAGTAAGTACAGTAGGACCTTTTGCTTTGTGACCCAACCACCCATGTTGGTTTCTCTGTCAGTGATGGAGGTTGTTTTATACCATACTACTGAGAACAGAACGTCTGCCATATTTTTCACTACCTTCAAGGGGACTAATTGAGATAAAGCTGTTTCATACTAGAGCATACCTTCAAAGTATGTGGTTGAAGTCTCTTTCTTGTTTTAACCTTTGCTTCAAGAAACTTTTTAAAGTTCTGGGCTATACAGGAGGGATCATATGGGGTCTCTACAGATAATTTCACCAAGATATTTGAAATAGTCAGAGAAGTAAAAGAAATTGGTAGAAATCATTACATAAAGGAACTCATTATAAAGAATCATAATACCATGTACTTTTCATAATTAAACAAAAGAAATGCAATATTGGCTACTGCTTTAGATGACAGACTGTGCTCCTCCCCATAATATTTTTAAAAAGCAAAAAGCAATCTGAAATACATAGCTATAAGGCAACGTGAAAACAAAGTCTGTGTGTCATAAATACATGAGCAATTTTCAGAATTTTCTATAACATATTCTTGGAAACCAATGAACACAAATGATAACCATGGGTGAGGGCAGGATAAAACATAAGTACAGGGTGAGGCAAAAGTATGTTTACAATTGTGAGTACACAAAACACAGAGTTTATATTCTTGTGTTATTGTATTATTTTCCATATGAACAACTGTGAACCCACTTTTGCCCCACCCTGTCTATAGTATAAATATGTACTATGTTCCCTTTATTTGTCAAAATACTGATTTCAGAGATCATTGTTTTGATTTTTTTAAAATGGCCCTCTTTGCTTTAAGCAGGGGATTTTCAACTGGAGTGCCACAAGAATTTTTAAAACATGCAATATCTGACTATTTAGTTAGGGGCACTGACCTCTTTTCCCTTAGATTGTCAATTAAAAAATGACAGCAGCCAACACAGCAATAGCTGTCTGGTGTGACTGAATCAAAATTATACCTATTTTTTAATCATATTGACATAAAATATGTTTTTTGGGTGTGCTGCAGAATTTTAGTAATTAGTTTTTGTGTGCCATGAGATAAAAAAGGTTGATAATCGCTGTTTTACCTAGTAAGCAATGAAACGGTGTCTCAGTGTCACCGGATCTCAATAAAATGAATACAAATGCTTTGATATAGGATCCAATAGAAAAAACAGTTTTACTTCACCTTTAAAATGATAGGTAAAAAAAAAAAAAGACTGAAAGAAGACATGCAAGTCCATAGACTGCAAAACACAGATGAATAAGCAGAGCTTATAGAAGAGGGATACATACCGTAGCACAGACTCAGCTTAGTTTAATTCACATTTACTGTGACAGCTAAAGTTCCTGTTATTAATACAGAGCGGAATAAAAAACCAACAAAAAGAATGTTGACCTGTCACCCCTATGCCTGCCTCACAAAACTGCTTTCCCATACAAGTTATTTTTTTTTTTTTTTAGTTGTGACCTAGTGCCAATTTGGGGATAGGGGTGATTACAACATGGATAATACAAAAGCATGTCAGAGAAGTGCTGACACAACACGAAGCAATAAGGAAGCCAATATAATAATATAGCAAAAGTTGAAGGATGTTTTACAGCTAGTCTGTTTTCACCATATGTCACATATTGTAATAGCGACCCACAGGTCATCATATATAGTTGCGACATGTGTTCGTAAGTCAGAGGGTTAGTGAAACCTCTATTTAAGGTGAGTGCTTATGTCAGTCATCTCCAAAGTCCTTAACTGCCACACGGCCAGAAAAGAAATCTCCCAGTGCCAACAAAAGCAGAAGTCAGCAAGAAAACTAGAGAAACATTTGAGGAAGCGGGAGTCATATGTTTCAAAGAGAATCTGAACAGGACTGCTTCCTGACACTCTTATTTTTCCTCTGGATAACTGTGAGCCGTTTTTTTCTTATTAACAAGCCAACCAATGATCAAGTCCACTTCTTTCTCTCCAAGCATGTCTAACAGTTTACCCTCTTGAGAAGAGCAATGCTGAAAAATCATGTAGGAGTTTTTATAGTCTCATTGCTACAAGCAAAAGCAATCTTTTATAGAAGAGAGAGATGAGGGGCAGTAAGCTAAAAATTTTTTTCAAATATCCGCATACAACCCAACTACTTACAATCTTAACACCCAGTCTATGCTAAATTAAAGATCCAAGATAGTTTACAGAAATACTCTTTTTCATGCATTTCCTCCCTGATATGAGTGAGTTTAACTTCCATTAACTTTAAAGCCACCCATAAAGGGAAAAATGGGCTTAATTTTTTCCCCCAGTTATTTCTCAAGGGTAATAAACACACACTATCTGAGGAAAAGAATGATGCTAATTCAAGAAATCAAAAGAATATTACAAATGTTTTCCATATTGATAAAGCACAAAATGATTTTATTTTTGTTTTTAAAACATATTTCCCTTCTCTGTTTCAATATAAAAGAAAGTATTTTAATTTTATTATGAAATTTTAAAATGGTTGCTTTTTATGAGACATTTGATGGGAAGCAGTTCCACTCTTTTGATAGCACTGCTACTTCACAATTGAAGCAGCTTGTAAAAACGATTGCAGAAAAGCATTTACAAAATGCTCAAAACACAGAAGCAGCGCCATAGAGCTATTTTCTATGTCAACTAAACTATGGACTATACTTGCAAGAGTTGAGAGTCTCTTTAAACACATCAACAATCCCAATTGCTAATAACTGTTTAAAAAGGTGAGTAAAAATTAGCCATTCACGGCCAAACTTAATCAATTCGATTGTTGCAGTTCTGTGAATAGGATGCCATAGCCACGCCGTTTCAGGGTTGTTATTAACTTCTTTCATTAAGTAAGCTTCAGGAGATACAGTTTGTTGAAGTAACAAGAGAGAAGGACCATCACCTTTGAAATGTCATGGTATTTTAAGGCAGTGCAATTTCAGAAGACTCAATGAGGGGGCAAAAAATACCAACAACTACCTAAAGATTCATTTTCCATAGTTTTCTCTTACAAATTATATAAAAACAAACAAACAAACAAACAAACCTCCTTACTCCATTATGTCTTATTTTTTGTTTACTCCTCTGAAAATTTCTATTTTGATTTTTGCTGGATTCATTGAAAGTGGTTGGCAACAGAGCAGACTGACTGCCCTTTCCGGAAAGTATGTCTTAAACAGCAGATGAGAGAATCAGGGGTGAAGAAGGTCCCCGTGAGCCCATTGATTCCATTGTGAATGTTGTAGAAAGTAGACAATTAGTTCGACATATAATTAGATCTTATATACATATACATATGTATATATGTATTTTATAAAAGGATTAGCTGTGATCCTATACATATATTGCAGAGGCACAAGTAATTACTACCATGGAAGTAATGTTTAAATAAACACTTGTACCTATCTTAAGGTGTTTTAAAATAAGGGTCCATTAGGTCTCCAGATTTAAAAGCTGACCATCTATCAAGATAGAAGTAGCAAAGGACTAAATATCATGATACAGTCGATACCTACCATGAGAGAATTTGGTTGTATCCATACTGGAAATCCCTCTCCTGACATTTCTTGACAGGATATACCAATTGGTTCTCGTGGAAGTAGAGAATCTTTTTCAGCTTCCCAAGGTCAGGCCGAAGGGCAGCCAGTTCAGTCAGGTTAAGCACTGAGCTTGCAAAGAGGGTCCTAGGAAATAAGGAAATGCGGGTTCACTGTCCAGAGCACGCTTGATGGGTGTCATCCTTTGCCCTTCTTCCCCCTCCCCACATCCTACCCCCAGAAAAACACGTGCCCTACAGGGACACATCAATAGTTAAGAATTAATACCATGTAGCAGCATTCCAAGTCTTGATCTCTGAAAAAAGCAGCTGCTAAGAACTATAAAAGCTCCAAATCTCATTGGTCTTCTCAGCTCAGTTACTGAGAGATGCAAAAAAAAAAAAAAAAAAAAAAAAGCTGGATGGGTTTTATTGAAAAAGGCAAGAAAAGCTCTATCTGAAGGACAAATGGAACAAAGATAAGGCTGACTGGGGAATACTTGGCTTGCCAGTTTCATTACACTTTACTTCTTTATGCAACCAACTACTGAAATTCAATATACAAGCAGGGATAGCACATGCTCATGTTATGACATAAACCCTTTTGATTTATGCAATAGACTTATCTAGTGTGGTCTTTTTCTCTTGGTATGTTTTCTCACCATGCCTCCCCCCCACTTCTTTTAACGATTCTGCAATATTTCTGGGTGGGTGGGGGGTTCTAATTTTTTTTCTCTGCTACTGGACTACTAGTGGCACCAGATATACAATTTATAAAACCCCTTAGAGATCACATAGATATTTAAAAAATGAAGAAAGGCTGATTGATTCCCTTTCTTTGGGGGAGGGGAGGAAACTGAAAGCTTACCTACCATGTTTATAAAGGAAAGTGTCTATCAACTCACTCCTTCCCCAAACACGTACTAAATGCCTACTACGTGCCAGGGTCCAGCCAGGAAGAACAGAAAAGATGGACAAGGCTGCCCACTGCAATGAATGCTGCCTGTCATAGTGACGTACACAAAGTACTGAAGTTACAAACAGGAAGGAGAGAGAACTGTCTGGGACAACCTGAAAATGTTTCACTAACGAGGTATCTACCACGTATGGACACAGGAGGTGCAAATTACAGTCCCTGAGCAGCCAAGTACATTTAGATGGCACAATTTTGATGGAATACCACCTTTATAACATAATGCGGCACCATCTGACCCTTGCAGCTTTAATTCCCAGTCTAAAGAATGAGGTTCGGGAAGGTTATGAGTGTTCCTGGAATCACACTGTTGGAAAGTGGCAAAGCAAGGCTCCCGGTCTCTCAGCCCCAAGTGCTTTCCATTACGCCAGGGACATGAATTGGTCATGGGCGAGTTACATTGCAAATGCATTTTTCTGTACTTAATAAATACAAAATATCATCCTTGTTATTACCATGATTACAACTCCTATAAATCCTCCCTGGCTGACAAGCCAAATGGCTAACTTCAGGTGTTTATATGATCTGCAGCACTAGCCTTTCACATAAGAAGAGTGATTACATAATAAGTGCATGTATCATAAATAGGAATTCAAGTGTCTTCTTCATGGGCTAGAAAAGGCACATCTGATCAAAAAGCAGTGATCTCAATTTTACACCCACATTGCTATATTAATGTCATGGTTTGTTGCTCTAAAGTAAAAAAAAAAAAAAATTAAAAATCTTACAAAGGAGATACACTATTGTTTAAATTGTCTCAGCGTACCTAACTAAAGCAAAGAGAAAAACTATGGCCAGAAAAATGCCCTGTTTTCACCAAAAATATTCCCACCACCACCTCATACAAATCTTTCAAGAACTAAAATTGAAAATTCTGAAATATGAAGGTATTTGCTTATCTACAAATCTTATCCTTACTAGAGAGAACAATAAAACATTAATCTCAATCAATATTGTCCTTAAAAGAAACTAGATGGCCACTTGTGGGTCTAATTATTGGAAAATTCTCCCCCTTTCCCCGTATCCCCACTCCCAGCCCCAACATACAAACCCATTCTTAATCATTAAGACCTGAGTAAATTCAACATTTTTCACACACAAGGTAGAAAAATTCATTAAATGTGGTCCCCTTATTAATTGTTAATTACAAAGAAAAAATGGTACCTTTAAAATGGAGAAATTTGGTAGACATGAATTTATCCAAGTGATCAAACTAAATATGACCTAATGGGACAAATTCATATCTTGTATTTCCCAATACAATATCCTGAGAAAGATTCAAATCACCAATGAGAAAGATACAAATCTGCCAGAAAAGCCTGATTTGAATTTGGTCATGAGGAAACGGACACATATCTTGCAAAATAACTGGACTGGATCTCCAAGAAGGTCAATGTCATTAAAGAATATATATATATATATAAAAAAACAGAAACCCCAAAGCAAAATGCCACTCTGATACTAGGTAGGGAAAAAGCAGCTATAAAGGAATTATGCGGACAACAGGGAGACTCTGAATATGGGCTGAATATAAGACTGTAAATTTTCATCAGGCTTAAATTTCTTAAGTTTAATAATTTTAATGGGTTTATATAGGATATTATCTTTCTTTTTAGGATGACTGTTGAATTGCTTATGTGTGAAGTTACATGATGTCTGCAACTAATTCTTAAATTGTCCAGTCAAAAGGCTACTAATAAATATTCATATGTATATATTTACATAAAGAAATAAAAAATGTGCAAATATTAACAATTAAGTGATTGGCATATTGTAATTCATTGATCTAGTCTTGCAAATTTTTGTTGTTATACATTATAAAACTACAATTTTGGGGAATATGCACAAAATGGCCTTAAGTAGAAGGGAAAATTATGCTACATGCCATAAGCAATAAATCCATCATATATGCACTTTTAGTCATAATCCAACTGTTAATTTCCTACATAAGAATTATCCTCAGGGTGGACCTGAGAAATCAGTAGAAAATGTTTAACCAAGGTGAGTCCTACTCCTACCACACCCCTCCTCTTCTCATCCTATGAGCTGATCACTGCCTTCCAAGTCAAACTCCCAAATGAAACAATGCAATACATTCAGAAATGAAATGGCAATGATTTTCAAAATCTTAACCACACCAACACTTCCTGTAGTTTCTTCAGTCATTAACAGGAAATTCATTATATTTTTATTGCTGATCTTGAAATAGCCCTCATGCTCCTACTTTGTGGAAATTAGCTCTATCATTAGTAAAACAGGTCTCTGCTTTTTCACTTGTAAAGGGTAGTTAAATTGGCCAATAAGCAACTCCTCAAATATTCAGCTCGATGATTCCCCAAAATAAGCAATGAATAGGCCCTCAAAAGGAACGCAGGTGTGACTTATAGGCAATTTTCACTTTGCTTCCTTCCATCAATTAAAAAAAAAAGTTTACAATCATAACAATGAGTGGCATCACTCCATCAGCAGCTAATCCCTTGGCTCCCCACATTCCTCTTGCCTCAGGTATTATTTAAGCAATAAATCCTAGCAAGGTGAGCTTTAGCATCCCACACTGCGAGTCTGGCAGGAAAGGGCATGAGGTGATAGCGAACACCAGTAGGAACAAGATAATTCCTGACAGCTGCTGCTTGAGCACAAGTTAAATTGAACAGTTTATCTCAGCGTGAAGATGTTATAAGGTTTTATGTTTAATATTTTTAAATTAACATAAAACCCAGAGAAAGCAGTTGGGCAATCTTTCACAAACATGACATACTACAATCACTGCATAAGCTGGATTAGTACTTATTACCACGCGACTACAGAATTAAGCTGTTTTTAGACCACCAAAGAGCTTTAAATTGCAACTTTTGTCTCTGTAAGAGAAACCTATATTTAAAATGTCTACTAAATTCAAATTAGCGGCTACATCATTAAGCTACCATCTCACGAGAAGTATAAGTAAGCCACTATTAGAATCCAAAAGGCTCAGGCTGCCGGCATGTTAGCACCTTTCTATGTATTTGGGATTGTGTCCTACACATGGTTCGATTGTTCTCAGCGCCCATTATATCTGCCATCTGAGTCATATTTGCTTGAGAAATACAAAATCATTCAACGCCGTGAAATTCAACATTCGAGTTTTTATCCTTTTCTTGCTCAGTTTGAATAAACTGGTTGCTTGCCTTTCACCCTGCTGCCTTAATATGTAAAAAGAGATGCTGAGGTACATTTAAGCAATGTAGGAGTGAGGACACTATTATCAGGATGCACAATTCTGTATCTTAAAGGAAATGGAAAAACAACGAAAGGAGAAACAGAGACAGGCATTCAGTATTCAACCACCACTACACATAATCTAGTCATACTCCCTCATTCCTCATTCCTGCCCCATGAAATCTTTTCAACAGCTGCCCTACCCACTCACCCCCAACCACTTAAAACAAATCAGGATATATTACACAGGTTGACACAGATACCGGTTTGGGTTGTCACTCATACTGAATGATTCATTGTAGGGCTCCATAGGCCCTGGCCAAAGAGTCAATTCCGTTCTTCCAGCTGTGTGGCTTCACTCAATGCCTTGTCTAGATTCACGTTGCTCAGCCTCATTCCCAAAGTCTTTGTTCTTTTCTGATTCCTGTCCCTTGATATCCCCTCTCCAGGACTATAGACCCTATACTTGCTGTGATGTAGCATTTTCTACGATGATGGAAATGTCCTATATCTGCACTGTCTAATATAGTAGCGACTAGCTACATATGGCTATCCAGCACTTGAAATGTAGTGAGTGCAACCAAGGAACTGAACTTTAAATTTAATTTAATTTAATTAACTTAAGTATAAACGAAATAGCCATACAGTAATGCCTGCTGTGTAGGAAAGCACAGCTCTGGATGGACCAGCTTGACTTAACCTAATACTCCACCCATGGCACCTGAATGCATTTCCTTACTTAATTGATCTGCTTGTACAGATCCTTGACTGGATTCTAGTAAGCTAATTGTTAAGTTCCTCCTGGCCAGGCTCTCCAGTTCTGGAATGACACTATTTCCTTTTTCCTTCTGATAATTAGAAAACACATACTCATTGCAGAAATGTTTTAAGTACAAAAAATATATAAATTAAAGAAATATCACCCACAACCACCCCAAAAAGAGATAGCCACTATTTGCATTCCAGCAATCATCTAG